TTGGAACGAATTACAATGATTCAGTGGGGTGTGCGATAGACCTACCTCCACGTGGTGCACCCTGAGCAACGTATACTCATACGGCAAAAAAAGTCTATTAACCGGCAATTGACTTCTGACTTCAAACTACCATGACCCCACTGTATGTCATATTCAACCCCTTCCACAGTACTCATCTCACCTTTTTCTCTGCCTTTGTGTCTGTCTGCCTCTTTTACATCTGTGAATAGCTCTTCTGTTCCCCACCCCTCGACTTTCTGCTACTTTGATGTACCTTCCCTCTGTAAAGCCCGAAGTCAGCTAAATGGCAAATGATAGCTATCAAAACGCCTGCCATTTGAAATAAATAAATAAATACAATGATTCAGTAGATCAAAGGGTAAGCACTTCTCTGCACAGAGGAAGTTTCGATTCATCAGAAAAGAGCTTTGAAGAAGTAAATATTATAGCATTTGCCAAACGTTAAGCAAACAGTGAATAGGCATAACATGTAGTGTATTTTTGGTGAGCGAATTGTCATTTGGCCAATACCATTTACAGTTAAATCTTTTTACTCAAATCCGTTATAAGAATTTTTTCAATTTTATTTTGATTAAAAAATCAAATGTTAAAGTGCCATCAATTTTAATAGACAGTTCAATGAAGTTCATTATCAATTAATGTTACATGACATCCACTTTTTTGTCAATTGATAGATGCCTTGATAGAAAGCTTACACAGACAAAATTTCGATAGAGAATTATCATCAGAAAAGGACAAATTGACCCAACGTTTCAGCTAAATTCAAAAATAAAATCAAATTGCACTATCATAACGATATTCATTACTCACAATGATTGGGTTATTAATATATTCCATTTTTATGCTAAATGACTGGTGAATGGAACTTTATGCAAATTAACAATTTAGAATTCTATCACCTTAAGTAATCACACTGTCTCTTAAAACCACATCAGAGACGCTAATGTGAAAGTATTTATTCATTCTTGGTGTGTGCTATAGACTTACCTCCACGTGGACAACGCATACTCATACGGAAAAAGTTTATAAATCGGCAGTTGACTTCTGACCTTAATCTACCATGAACACTGTATACCATATTCCATCACCTACACAGTACTCACCTTACCTTTTCTCTGCCTTTTTGTTTGTCTGTATCTTTTGCATCTTCGAATCACTCTTCTGTTCCTCCCCTCGAATATTTGTGACCTTGATGTTCCTCCTTTCTGGGAAATCCGAAGTCAAGTAAAGGGCTAATAATAACCATCCAAACGCCTGCCATTTGATACATTCTATTTGAAATATCTTTCTACATCAATCACAATTGTCCATTTTAACCTAATCAACGACTTAGAAATCGACAAAATAATAATTTGATCGAAAAAGTTCCTAAATCATTACCTTTGTCCTAGCAGATCTGAAAAATCGATTTAAATCAAACGAAAGTTCGAAATTTTCATTTTAAATTTTGTTATCTATTATTTTTAGGTTTGCGAAATTTGATTATTTCCTCAAATAATTGATTAAATCCCAAAACACGATTAAAAAACATATTCTTATCGATTTAATTTTGCAACTAGCAATATTAAAAACTTATATAATTATTTTCCCACCACTGAGATTGTTAACAAAAAGTAGACAATAGCTCATTTATATCATCATTTTCTTAACGTCACTGCCTTTGATAAGGTGTCAAATTAAAGAAGATTAACCTACATAGGAAAATACATACCTCAACAAAAAACTGTTTATTTATTTACTTAATTAACATCAATGCCTCAATATACTAGTTGATTCTTCCTTGCTTAGTTTGCCGATAAAGCAGACCAGAAAACAGCAAAAGGAAGAGGAATTCAATTCAATTTGAATCATCCACTGTTAAAAACTTTAATTCTCTCCCTCTTCCTCTCGAGAATACGCACAGCTGTTTATCATCCCTCATTCTACATCTGAAGGGAAAATTTCAAGGCGCAGTAGAAACCCGAGCATCTCTCGCGGCAGCCAAATGTGAAGTTTGGCTGAAATCTATGGAGTAGGCGAATTGCAATTCCCTCTTATTTTGCCTCTGTGTGGTGCCGAATAGCGCGCAAATTAATGAGGGCGCCCGAAGTAAGAAGCTCGTGTTACACCCTCCATTCAAAGTCTTTCAATTTTCAAAAAAAAGATAGTAACACGAATTCTCGATTTTATAACATGTTGTTTTAAAAACAAAGATAAGACTTATTTTCACACAGGTACACGTATCTTGCTGATTCAAGGTCTCGGAAATAGCTCCGTAAAGGATACTACTCTAAAAGAAATTATTAGTAAATGGATTAAAAATTCTAAAACTCGGCAAATATGCTATTATTAAAAAATTATTTATGAGAGTGAATTGCATCGCCTGTTAGAAAGCTGACATGTCCACGGTTCTCGCCTATTGTTGCTTTTTATCGTGTTCATATGTCTTCTCATGGTTAAAATATACCGTGTGCATTTCATGAAATATAATAATACATATGTGGAAAAAAAGTTGGCATATACGTTTGCAACACCATCACGTTAACCCTTGGAGGTTAATAATTTCGCCGAAAAGGGTATAAATTCTTATTTTATGCAGCATTAAGTGCCGGTAATATTAATGCGCAAAAAATGGCAATAATGCCTGTCATATTCGTGGGATTCGTTTCTCTAGATCTAACGCGATAAACAACGACTTCTGTGGTAAATTATCAGTGTTAGCTTAAAGCGCCTCTGTGATACAGAAGCAAGTTATTTAAATAGTTTTTTTCCTGAGGTTAGTACTTACATATTAACAAAACATAAATTGGAAACTATCATTATATAGATGATTAAATAAATCTAAAAAAATCAGGTAGGAAGTAAAGAGATTCCATCCACATCATAAGATTCAGACTCCTTTAATTTCCTATTTGACACATTCAATATTTCATAATTTACAATCTTGGTAAATTGTGGAATTTCTTACAACAGTCGCTAAAATAGACTGAAGACAAATGGAGATGCTATATCATCATTATTTATCCTTTGTGGAATATCGAACCAAAGATAAAAACTATGATACTTTGAGTGTAAATTTGAACGTTTGTCATTAATGCACCTTTTTGTCGTTTTCAATCCAAATTTATAATTAACATGTTAGTAGAATATCAACGATTACTTCTTCAAAAAGTCAACATAAAAAGGGGTAAAGCATATTTAAATCACTTTTTAGTTATTCACATTTCCAGAACAAAAAAAATCGATAATTAGTGTTGATTTCATTAAATTTCCAAAGAAATAACATTTCTTCCATGGCCTTCACTAATCATCTCTGGAAAGCAAAAAAAAACACATGTTGCCTGTTACTACAAGTTCATTGTAGGATTTTCAGTGTTAAATTCTCCTTTATGTCTTTAAGCTACCCTCCAGAACCATCATGAAAAAAGCTAGTTTTATTTTTAAAAAAATTTGAGTGTTTATAACACTTCACCAGGCACAGGAGTGATTTTCAATCCGTCTCAGTTTTCTTGGCCAATGGTGTCCCGAGATAGTTCATCCGTTAACCGCTAAAATTGAAATGCGCTATAAAATATCGCTCTTTCTGCATACGCCTGTCGTCTAAATCGCCTGCATATCATTCGAGCAACTCCACCCAATCTAATCATTCTATTTTTGTTGCAGCAATAAAGACTTGTAGAAGACAGAAGGGCGGAATAAAAGGCACTTAGCCGCCACTTTAATTTATGAAATAACATTTTAGCAGACGTGGTTTCAGCCTAAATGTGCAACTAAAAGAGAGAGAGAGAGAGTAAAATACCCCAACTTCATTAGAAATTTGACGCACTGATTTATGCTTGACTTAAAATATACTTTTTTGTCTTATCAAAACACATCTACTTCACGTCTGCTACTTTTCACTGTCACAATCAAGTATAAGAACACACACATGAAAACAAGCAGCACAGTTTAACAATCGATTGCTCTCACCTCTCCAGACATGAGAAGTCTTGTGATTGACATATTTATGGGCAATGAGGCGAAGGAAGGTTTTCATATCCCCAGTGCAGCAGGCGTAGTCAAGAAGCCAAAGAAGGCCAGCTTCAGCAGCAGATTCAACGCTCCCATTCTTGTCCACCGTCCAGGTCACTGAGGAATCCTCGTCGGATTGGGAAAAGGTAGTGCTAACGGATCGGAATGGAGAATCGCAGTTTCGAGAGAGGGAAGGACGACTGGCGCAGGAAACACGACGCTGGGAAGATAACTGTTTTGTGGAAAGAAGAGGTCAATTTGTGCGTACTTCGATGGCCCCTACTCCGTTAACCCAACTCAGGCTGCAATGAGGGCTGAAAAGGGAGCTCTAGATTGCTCCCTAAATGTTTCCTAACCAATTGCTTCTTATTCAAAATGATATTTCATCTTTTAATGTCTGCCCAAATTGAGGGCAATCAATGTATTTCACCATCTCGCCTCCCTAAGTGTACATGAAAGCAGCAACTTTTTTATTCTCCATTTTTTACTCTATTCAGCCTTCTAATGACTCAGAAAATATGCCTGTGTTATCTATGATCATCGATGTCTTTGGGCTGTTTATAATTGCGCTCTAATTAACCACCAATTTGTAATATTCAGACTTGGATATTAATAATATCACATCAGAAATTTGAAAAAGTCATTTACGATGCGATTTCCTTTTTAGCTCAACAAATGTGAGCTCTTTGAAACAGAGGTGACATATTCTCTGTTTTGTAAGCTTATTTTAACTGTTTATTGAAATTGAACTAAGTGCATAACTGAATCTAATGGGTAACTAATTTATTTATTTTTAATTAGTAAGCATCAATTTCAAAAGTTTTGGGAATTAGAAAAAAATCCTATCTATAGTTTATTTTTTTATTTAAAAACAGTTCATATCAAACGTAAAAAAAACAATGAAGACAAATTTAAATTTTCTATTGTAAATGCTAATTAAAAGACCCAGTGTGGAAATATGGCTTATTTAAACGCAATAAATTTAAATTGTTTTTCAAATCGTTACACTTTTAAACAGACTTAAACAAATTACTTTTATTGCTTTAAGCATTAGAGTATTTAAATATCTTTTAAACTTTTATAAAACCGATCATCGGAAAATTTGCATTTTGCTATGTGAATTGGTCTTCTTATATGAAGCGTAGACAACCTAAAGTTTCAGACGTCAAATTTTAATACACTTGACGACCCTACACCCCCCTCCCCTCCCCTCCCCTCCCTCATTTCATCTCTCATCTACTTATTTTGCCATTTTAGTTAGAATTTTGAAACTGGAATATATATTAGTAATTTTCCATTGCCAAAGGCAAATATGATATTAAATGAACTTGATTTACCTTATTTAGATCTAAATTTCAAATTAATTATCTTTAATGTGCACGCTTTGAGACACCTTACGTCACATCTATTACCACCGAATATCTCTGCTAAAACGATATAAATAAATTATCAAAAAAGACTATTTTCTCATTTCCGTGATTCAAATTCAACAGATTGTCTTTTAAATTACACCTTTTACGTCATAAATAAGTATAGATATTGATTTAACTATTCGTAGATCATTTTTAAAAGAAAAAAACGTGTGTTTTGTATTAGGTGATGAACTGCAAGCACCTGTCCTAATGGATGAATCACCCATATTATATTTTCACTTTCTATTCAAATGTAATCATCACTTTTGGTTACAACATTAATCTATAGTCGTACCATAGCCACGAGATTCTCGATTTTGCAAAGGAATTTGGGATTCCCAAACTGTTATTAAGTAATCCGATTAAATAAAAGTACTTTCCTCTTTACCCATTACAACAATTATTGATTTTCCAGAAAACGTTTTTCATTTATAAATTTTATGGGTTTGATAATGCAGGAACGAATTTGGGATTTTCGCTTTAACACCATCGAGTTCAGTTTGGAGAGCTTGGAATAGAGTTGAGTTCCGTTCTCTTGAAATAAATAAACTTCTAGCCTTAAATTGGAAGGAGTAGATTTCTTTCAGTTTAATGTTTAGGATCACTGCATTTTCATCCCTCAATAATGCCTTTCAATGTCTCAAGTTTTAATTTTTTGATTATGTGTTTTCAAGAGGTCAATAACATTCTTTATTTAACCAATTAAATTAATAACATTTCATTAAATGATTATATTAATAATATTGCTAAGAATATCCGGTTTATCAACACATTACTTTTATGTTTGGAAATCATTTTGTTACTACATATTTGAGGCATTGATGTAGACACCAAATTGTATGCTATTCAACTACCACTTTTAGAGAAACTTATTAACCCAATCGGATTAAATTAAGTTAATTCAAACAAAGGGAGCTTATATTTAATAGGAAAAAAAGGATTAGAAAGTAATATAATTTGTTCCGAATACAGCTAGACTATAATCATCTAATAATTAATAATTTTATTAATCAATAATACCATTCCAGGCGTTTTCTCTCTTGATATGACCTTTCAGTCAACTTTACTTACCCCTTTAATATGCCAATAGGGATTTTTTAAAAAAATGATGAAGAGTAAACAGAAAAGACAGACTTACTGGACTTTCTGGTGGACTATCAAGGAAGTCAACAAAGTCAGGATTCTCGCAACGAATATTCCCACTTTCATCCTATTAATTTAAGAAGAAGAAGAAAAGGTGCAAGACATTAAAGGTCAAAGTATGATTAATGTGTACAAGTGTTCCAACCAGATTAAGAATATAAATAGAGCGCCGCTATCCTCATTTCCGACAAATTAAGAACATACCTATATGCGGCTCCTCTTAAGCCGCTGAATACAAGGTCAGTTATTAAACCGGCAACCCCTTACAGGATCCAAGTTAAACAAGTCACAAGGGAGAGCGGGGTATATAATTATTATAATTAGTAAGTAGATACTTGAAATTTAATGTGAAAGTACAATGAAAATATTTAGAACAAAAAATATGCTTTGGTGTGTACTAACAAACAAGTAAGTTCTATTCTTCCTTATACGGCAAAACGAATTTACATGCTTTGTATTCTCTTGCCTTGTGAGGTAACTACCAATCAAACAGCCTGAAAATTAAGGTCTTGAAGTCAAAAAGACTCTTTACACAACCGTAGCTATGTTAAAATTTCTCCACTTTTGAGACTAAATACCTCATATCCCAATCGTATTCTAGATATCACCTCAAGGTAATGTAACGAGGAATGACACCAAATACGCCTGCCGGTCTAAACCAATCAGGAATTCTCCAGGACAAGGAAAAGATTATCCTCAATCAAATTAAATACCGTGAAACAGACGGTATTTCATTTTGAAACAGTTTCCTCAAAATCTTGCAATGTCAGTACAGTTATTAACTACACTCGATCTAGTATTTTTTGAATCGACACTATAGGCAAAAACGATTTCTTGCTAATCTTTAAAGAAATTGTCTTATATCCAGGTGGTTTTGTAAAGCATTGCCAAAAAGAATAAGTAAATTGTATCTCGCTTACTTCGCAAAGGTCGAAGTTAATATTGACGATGACTAAAGTAAATCGCGTGTTGTTGTTTAGTTAAAGTGTTTTGACGTTTAATTCAGATGATGGCATACTAATTTAAGCTCACTCCAATGTGACTTGGCTGAACTTTCAAATTAATTTTGAATAATGAGGTGCATTAGTATCCTCTATTGATGTTGAGGCCACATTGTACATTCCACTAACTCTAACAAAGGTGCTTAAAGTGGCCGAGGGAAATGAGTACTTTAAGCCATGAGTAATACTGATTTCTCATAAGCTCATGTGTAAAGGAAATATATTATAAACCGGTAGTAATTATCAACTTTTTAATTTCAAAAATTGAAGTATCATCGAAATCCAATCTTCGAAAACTTTTTAATTCGATTGCACGCCTTATTTCCTTAAATCTGCTGAATCCAAACACAGTTTTTTGACCGTAAAAACGTTTCTGGTTAGTCATTTTGTTAGTCAAAATACTGCACATCTTTTGAGCTCCGTGGAACTTGCTTCAATACGATCCAACCGATTAACACTATTGCATTCTTGTTTACCTTATACTAGATAACTTCAGAATTAGTTATTAAAAACGTATATATATATATATATATATATTGTCAGTGATCAGATTTACTGAGTAGTATTTGTTTTTACAGATATGCTAATATTTCCGCGCGCAATCCGCTTCCTTTAAAATTGTAGTTCTTCTTCATTCACAAACGTGATAACAACAAGAATGAGGTACTGGAACCTGTCTGAAACACGAAAGTGAACGACCTGCTTTCGGAGAAATTGTACAGGTTCACCCCTTAATGCTCAATCTACACTGTGAAAACAATCTGGCATGAAGCTGAGAATTACAATTATGACAACGAGGTTGCGGTGAGTGGAAGAAAGCAACAAGACAGACAATCTAATGTCAATCGCATGGCAGATTTCCGTGAAAGACATTCGCTACTAAAAGGCTCTCGAAAATAGTCTGGCAAATGCGGAGAAACTTCTGGACAAAAGTCCGATATCCTGCCGAAGCACCTACAATCGAGTTCTTTTTCCATTTGAAGCAATTTTGCCAAGATCAAAAGCCCCTCATGCAGAATAGCAGGTGGCACAACTTGGCACAATTCTTGATTCATGCAGACTAAATTTACCCAAACTGGCCCAGTTTTAGGATATGTGTCTTAATCCGCCTCCCCGAGGCGATGTGACGTGATGACTCCCTCTTCCAATTGGCAAGAAGGAAGTAAAGCTGAATTCAGTCGTCAACCTGGAATTGCTGACCGCTGTAGTAGTTAAGCCCTGGATTACGAACGAGGGAAGTCACCATTAGGGCATAGGCATGGCAGCAAGATTCGACCTCTGCCACGACTCAGATTATTTTTATGGCTGTGCTAGACCCATTACTTAAACTTCGAATTTCGCCATTCTGACAAATCTTAACCTAAAAAAATATTACGTGTGTATTTGATGATATCGAGAAATGGGTGCTTATAGCAATGTCATAGCACTAAAAGCCAGCAAATTAGTGGGCAGACTGAAAGCGGATTTCGAAACCCTTTAGAAGGAAGTTGACAGGAAACGGGACTGGATTGAAGCTATGATAGACACACATATCAGTTATTTTAGGTAAAAATTCCTGATAGCTGTGTAATTTTCTGACCCACTGGATATATTTTAAATCCATTAGATCTTGTATTTCATATCCCTGATGAAATTGTAAATTTTTTCACCCAACATCCTGCATATATCGGCTTGCAAATCACAGAAGACTTTGAAAAAAACCACTTACAAGCCCCAGTCATTCAAAAAACAAATATATAGAATATTTGATGTTTCCATTTAAGAAAGACAAGTGATTTAACCAGATAGCAAGTGATACAAAGTAAGTAAATAGGTAGACATCTGGAACCTATTAATTAATATTTTTTTAATTCTCGAAATCTAAAACAGCTGTTGTAAGACTCCTCTGCCAATCGTTAACAATTTAATAGTTTGAAGCATCAATCAAACCATACGTTATTCACTATAACGATAATTTTAGCCATGGTAATAGATAGTCTTTCACCTATTTTTGATAATTTGTGGTAAGGTTTTCTTTCCTGAAGGAAGACATCAATTTGTTAATCCCAAAGGTGAATTTAAAGCCAGTAATTAGATTTATTCTGCCTATTACATGAAGTAATAAATCGACTGAAATGTTATTCCCACTTACACTGTGCGACTGACAGTCTCGATAAAGTTGCAAAAGGCACTCGTTGGTATAATTGTAGAGAAGATCTTCAAAACTCCCGCCAGACATTCGACCACCAGCTTCGGGTGTCTGCAAACCTGGAGGATCCACCACAACCACTCGCGCTGTCCGTTCTCTAAACTCAACTTCTGAATTCGACCGAAGGATCCCCCCGGATTTTGGATTCAAGGCTCTTTTGGGTAAAAATAAAGTAAAGAGTGCTAGAAAGTCTTGTAAATATTAGGTTAAATTAATAACTCAATTTCAGATGAGATGAGGCAAAGCAACTGTAATTATTATATGTCCCTAATTAGTGCAATTTAGCATTTTATTAAAGTGAAAACATGGAATTTTAATGGACTCGTTTTGCATTCCCTTACAGGATAGTTGAAATATTAAATTATCGAAGTATAAATTTTAGGAAAGTATTGAATAAGATCTCCGTTAATGCTATGAAGTTCTAAATAGCTCATTTAATAAATTATTTTCAATAAAAAATATATTGAAATGAAATTTACCTGTGAAATTCTGCTTTCTGCACTAACATGCGTTGAGGAGCCATTGTTATTCTTCTACTATGATCGGCATATCTCAATAAAAGATCACTTAATGAAGCTAAATTAAATTACGCAAATTTAACCTCCTTAATATTTAAAAATAATAAACGAAATCAGCGAATTTTTTAAAATTTGTTATTTTTATCTAATTTTGCCCGACTTCCACATATTTAATGTCATTTTGCTTTTCTTGAAGTAGTTCAACTATTAAAATCCGAAAAAACCTCCCTTTATCCAGATTTATGATAAAATATTAGTAATATTCCTATAACTTTATATGACAATGGCAAATCAAAGTATTCGATTTTTTTAAAAAAGTTTTATTTGCATTATATAGGATTTCACAAAAAAAGTTTATACGACGATTTCGCATTTTCTGATTCATGATCCTGTAAGGAACATGCCGCTAGCCTAGCTGGACCCACGAATCCCATGCGCGTTCGAACATTCTGGAAAGAATGGTGCCTTGCTTATCCCGTAGTCATTACGTACGACAGTGGTGCTAATCACACAAGGGAGCAAATGAGGTCATGAGAGCAGTGACCTCTCAGCCAATTACCAATCAAAATTCCCGGCAGATCAACGCAACCGAAATTGCATTCAATGGTCAATCGCCATGTCAGTTACACACAGACCGAATAAACGTGTTCCACGCCATACCTCTGTTTCCCCCTATATATCGTTGACGTAGCTTGGCCAACTTCGAGAGCCCTTCCATACACTAGAGGATCTTGCCAGTAGAGATAACTGAGGAGAAATCAGGCCTTATTTGTGTGGCAAGCCGCTAAAAACCCCTATCATGACCATTCTTCTTAAATAACGAGTCTCGAAGCTAAATCGGCTACCACATCTTCACCCAAAAAAGCATGAACTTTAAGTTGATACAATTTCAGTGCCGAAGAATCTTCCCTTTAGTACTACTAAACCTGAAAGTTTTAATTAATTATCAAAATTTTTTCAGACGACAAAAGATCAATCATTTTGCGCTTAAATGCCAAATGAACTTAAATGTCATTTTTGAATCTAATGGCAATGGATAAAAAGGTAATTATAAATTCGACGAAAGTACTTTAAATACCACCATTGTCGTTGGGTGACCCTTAATATAAAAATATTGTATACGAAATTAAAGTGGTGCAATGGGCATGGCCACAGTAAAAGATCGAACTTTATTTTACTTCAATACAAGTTTTACCCACTGCAAATTATAACAATTACTAACATTTACACGGTTATCTTTTTATACAATTGATATTGGACTATTAGGCGTGAGCGAATGACTTACCTCCACATGGTAAACTCTGGGCAACGCATACTCATGCGCAAAAAAGTCCATTAATCGGCTATTGACTTCTCACTTCAAACTACCACGACCCCCCCCCTGATTGCCATATTCGACCACTTCAACAGTACTTGTCTTACCTTTTCTCTGCTTTTGTGTCTGTCTGTCTCTTTAACATCTGTGAATCACTCTTCTTCCCCCCCCCCTCTCGACATTTTGCCACGTTGATGTTCCTTGCCCTCTCTGTGAAACCCGAAGTCAGCTAAAGGGCTAGTGATAACTATCAAAACGTCTGCTGTTTGAAATAAATCATCTCACAGAAAAATCGGGATCTCTATGTTACTATGTATGTAAATGATGGTGCAAAGCATCTCTCTTGAACGATCTCGTGGTGTCTACACTTTCTGATTTAGCACCTCAAGTAATTCGTACCACTGTCCTATCTGTCAGTTGTTTATCGGGGAAAAAGACGTTAAATTTCTCAATAGTCATATCGATCCTTGGAACTTGGGTAGCCCTTTTTCAGTACTGGCACCTTTCTGGTACTTTCCACATCTCCCTCCAACTACCATTTCTGGAAGGGGTCACAATATAGCTCGACTTTAAAATTGGATTCAATAGTAGAATTAAGGCTTCATGAATATGCAAACAAGCCTAGTTATTGACTTGTAAAGCAACCTTAAAACCAATCAATTGAGTCATGAATAGGGATGAAGCCTAAAAGAGGTACATACTTTGGCTGTCGTGAAAAGTTCGAAACCCGAAACTTCTTCAAAGGAGTCCCAAATGGACTAAGATATTGAGAGTGAATATTTAGATAAAAATTGAATTTCAATATTATCACCGTGTTAACAATTATATTAAATAATCGTGACTTTGGGTTTAAAGTAGATGTTATATAATTAAATATTATATTTTACTATGGCCTATGTTCTATATCCATATATTTAACTGATTCATTTATAACGAATCTAATAAAACTTTAAGTTTTTTAAAGTGTGGAGATTTGAAATTCCTTTGTAAGCGGTCGTCTCTGTTAGAATTTACCAGCCTAAAAATTAGGTTCCAATAACTTCTGAAGTGGTTAGACTTTACCTCGAAAAATTCATTCTTTAAGTGGCTGTTTGTTCTGGGGACCCCCATTTCAACAAAAAAACATGGAATGAAATTATTAGCTGAAGTTTAATAAATAGTCTAGGATTCTGTAAAAGTTCAAATTTTTCTTGAAATATGAGGAACTACGAATTTTGTGCGGCTTTATTCGTGTCATGTATTGCAGAGAAATGTACGCCTTAATCTGATTGGACGGATTGAGTTTTAGGAAAATTTTCATTATTCGTGATCTTTAAAAGGCTTATTCAAAATTTTTGTTAACAATAATTGAGTTTAGACTACGTACCGGACACGATTGCTTGGCAAAACACCTTCACAGATTGGGAGAATACACTCAACCCACATGCCCTCTATATAACCTACAGGAGGAAATGGAGAAGACCCACCTGATTCGGTGTCCAGCTCTAAAGACAACGACAGAGAGCCAGAGATACTGGGAAGCAAGAA